GTGTGTGTGTGTGTGTGTGTGTGTGTGTGTGTGTGTGTGTGTGTGTATATATATATATATATATATATAATTTATTTTACTATGTGAAATTATTTGGAGAGAGAAATTTGAATTAAAGTAAAAATGAAATGCAAGATAAATATTTTATACAATATACTAATTTTATTTAGAGATATTATTGTTGCTATTCAATGAAATAGTTTAAGAATGCTATACTAGAGCATAATATTTTGAATGGTATGGATGTAAGGTTTGAAAAAAAAAAATGATGCCAATAGGTGTAGGGTGGTGTGTACAGGGAAAAATACGTAACTATATTATCTTGTGAAACAGAGTTTTAACCTCTACAACAAGGATCAAAACATTGTTTCACAAGCATAAGTGTGGAAGATAATTCTTCAATAAAAGTGTCAAAGCATAGTGGGCTGCAATGGTTATTGTTGATAGGTTAAAGAATAATACAAAGATGAAGTTAATGAGGTAGTAGCATATGTGATCCTTAGGTATGCAACTGAAATTTCAGGTTGTAGAGCTTTCAAGGCAATGCAGCTCGCTAGATAAATTGTAGAAGGGGAATCTAGCAAATAGTTTAGCATGTTATGGTCATGTTGTGCTGAGTTGAGGGGCGCTTCATCATGAAACACTTGTAAAAACAATGCTTTCAAACCACCAGGATTTTCTTTACAAAAGTCAAGTTGCAGTTATCATGTGAGTATACAAACATTTTTTAGGCATGTTCCTTCTTATTTGATTTGCTTATGTGGTTTACTTATTATTCCTTCTCGTGCCTATTACTTCTTATTCCAGATCAAGAGATTGATACTAAAGAACAGAGTGAAGAAAAATGTTAATGTGACAGGTGCAAAAAGAAAGAGTGACATGCTAAGGACCCTGGAAATAATAGACATATTTGGCTCTGGTTAAAAACTTGATGATCCATCGGTGATTACTGAAGAGGAAACCATAGAAGGTGTCAATGGTGGTGCTAGGATATTAAAAAGTTGGGTAGACATTTGCAAAGAGCTAACTCTATGAAGACTATTTGAAGATACATTTGAAAATATTTACGCTTTGTATTTGTATTGTCATATGTACTATATATGTTAATATTTATGTTTATGTTATGAATATAGTTATGTTTTTAAGAGATTTGAATGGTATTGTATGCCCACCATGTCATATGTACTGTCATTGAATGAAGCAACTACTTTTATTTGTAATGTAATGAACCGAACAACTACTTTATTGTGTACTTTAGCTAATATGTTTTGCCATACTATGTACAAATATGTCAAAACAATGTCACATTATAGATCATACTCTGTATAAACTATAGGTCATAGTACGTCTAAAATATGGCCACTTTATGTCAAAAATATAGGCTACACCATGTCAAAAATTCTTTCCAAATTATGTCAATATTAATCCATACAACATTGCAACACCATAACACTATTTGAACAACATTTCATAAACAATTGAACAACATTATACAGTTGAACAACATTTGAAGAACACTTCAGAAACAATTGAACAAAATCAAATAATTAGAACAACATTGGAAAAATACTTCAATAACATTACATTTCAATATATTCCTCAATATTTACACTTTAATAACAAGTACATATCGAGCATAAACAAAAATACAACACAAATCGATTTCAATTTTTCAGAAAATATCTCTGACTTCATCTTCATCTATAGTTTCTTGTTCTTTTTCATTGAAGACTCATACAACCCATTCAATATTTCATCATCTTGCATCTCCTTCATTTTGCTCTCATATTTTCTCAAATCTTCATCTACAGTTTCATAAACATCATTTCCTTGTGTTATATCTTCATCCCATATGAATAAATTGCAAGTTTACTCACTTTGCCAAAATGGACATCTCTAGAAAAGCCCCCCTTTATTATGTTCGCTCTTGCAATGATATGATATCATACGAGCATTACACCTACACCTTGTTCCTATAAGGTTTCTCACACTTGTGGAATGATAAGAAACTAATTTTCTTCACCTTGATGAAGATGAAATATGATCAAGATTTGTTAATAATTTGCAGTGAAGAAGAATGGAATAACTTGCAGTGAAGAAGACGAAAAATGGAACGACTTGCAATGAAGAAAAATAAGAAGAATGGAACAACTTTCAGAAGATGGATGAAATGGGAAAGTGAAACGGGATCGTGAAATTAGGGTTATGCAGTTGAAATATAAATATAAAAACTAGGGTTCTCGAAGTGGATATTATAATGTATTACTACAGTGACTCTTATACTTTTGAATGGGAGTCCATTTGATGAGTTTAAGATGGAAATAGGTCTTCGTCAAGGTGACCCGCTTTTCCCTTTTCTCTTTCTGATAGCAGCTGATGTGTTACATGTTTTGATGAATGTTGTAGGAAAAAAAGTAATTTATACAAGATATGGGATGGAGGCACATATCTTAAAAGCATGTTGTTTGGGGTCAACATCTCAAAATATTGGTTGCACGAGGCATCAATGGTTATGAACCGTAAGCACAACTATCTTTTTTGTGTTTGGGGCTGTCTATTGTAGATATTCTAGGAAGCTTAATTTTTTTTATCCTCTGATTGATTGTATCAAAAGAAGACTGTCGGGGTTGAAAAGTCGATTTCTCTCTATAGGGGGTCATTTGATTCTTATTAAGTTTGTATTTTCCTCTATTCTGGTCTACTTTATTTATTTCTTCAAGGTGAACTTAAATATTATATCTTCTCTTGAATATACTTTTAATGCTTTTTTCTAGGGAGGGAGTAAGGAATTGAGACAATTTTCCTAGCTTAAATAGAATACTATTTGTTTTAAAAAAGAAAATGGAAGTCTGAGGGTTAAGAGGTTGAAGGAGTTTAACTTAGCCTTACTTGATAAGTGGTGTTGGAGGATTCTAAATGAGATGAGAAGTATTTGGTATACAATTTTGTGTGTTCGGTATGGTGAGGAAGGGGAACAATTATGTTTTAGGGGTAGTGGTGGTTCTATGTGGAGGAACTTGAAAAACATAAGGGATGGTGTAGGGTTGGTTGATGAAGGTGGTTGCTTGATAACATTGATCAGAGAATGGGAGATGGTTCCTTTACTTTGTTTTGGATAGATGTTTGGCTTGATGGTACGTCGTTACAAGTAAGATTTAATAAACTGTTTGATTTAGATGAGAATAAAAGGGCGACGATAGAAATGAACGAGTTAGGGTGGGGGAGAAAGGTGCGGCGTGGAAGTGGCGTATGAGGTTGCTTATATGTGAGAATGAGTTGGTGGAGGAGTGAATTGACCGGTTAACCTCAGTTGTTTTGCAGGTGGACGTAGAAGATCGTTGGGTTTGGATTTTATATCCCTCTTCTTGCTACACAGTCAATAGTGTTTATAAAAAATTTGTCTGAAGTTGACGTTAACAACAATCAGACTAACTCCTAATTTTTATATTTGAAGATTGTGTCGCTTAAGATATCCATATTTGCCTATCAGTTGTTTCTGAATCCTAGTCCCACTAAGGACAATCTGACTAGGAAGCAGATTCTTGCCACGAACGATAAAAAATGCATGGCAAATTGCGGCGTGGATAAAGACAGAGATCATTTGTTTGTAACATGTATTTTTCAGTATGTCGTGGCCTATTATTTTTAATTGGTTAGAGTACTCTAAGACATTCCAATGAATAGTTTGACATCATCTATTGCACTTTGGCGGGTTTGGTAGTTTTAAGGAAAATGTTCGTTTGACTTTTAACATTATTTAGTTCGCGATTGTTTGAGTTATTTGGAAAGAGCAAAATATGCGTATTATCCAGAATAAAGCGGAGCAATTGCAAGAGTTATTTGAAAGAGTAAAACTTTAGTCGTTTTGGTGGTTAAAGTTGAAATATGTTTATTTCAATTACGATTACCAACTATGGAGGTTAAATCTTTTATCTTATTTATGAATAATTATGTAGACAGTTTTTTACTGATTTTTTTCCTTCAAAATTTAGATTGTAATTTTGAATTCATTCTTGTCATTTTCAATACATCTTGTGCTAAAATGACTAATTTTGATCCTTAATATATTTCATTTTAACTTTTTTTAAAAACATTATTTACTTTCATAAATTTAAATATTTTAAAATATTAACAAATTAATCTTATCTTCTTTCATTTTATCTACTAAATAATGTTTTATTTTTATTAGTTTATAATTTTATATAAACATAATTTATTCTCATGAATTTGATTATTTTAAAATATTTTAACTACTAAATAATGTTTTATTTTTATTAGTTTATAATTTTATACAAACATAATTTATTCTCATGAATTTGATTATTTTAAAATATGTTAACAAATTAATCATGTCTTCTTTCATTTTATCTACTAAATACTGTTTTATTTTTATTAGTTTATAATTTTATAATTACATAGTTTATTCTCATGAATTCAATTATTTTAAAAATCAAAATTACCAAAATTATAATTTATAAAAATTAAACAATTTTAAATTTAAAAATTAACAATTTTATATAATAATGAGTATTTTATGGATAAAATGAAAAAACTCAAGTGCAACTTATTGGAATATTTATGCTAGATATAAACATAAATTCTATAAAAAGTGTTAACGTGAGTAACACATAGACATAAACAATATAAAAATAAAAATGATAATTTTTTAAATTAAGAAATAGAATTTAATAAATATTAAACTAAATATTTAATGCATAAAATCCCGATAAATATAGAAGTAACACATGACATAATTTTTTTTTAATTAATTTGCATTTGGGTCACTTGATCATCCTTACAGGATTTAATAAACTGAATCGGCATTTTACAACAAAAGAGCAATTTTACAACAAAGGGACATACTTCAAATAAATAAATAAATTGAATTGACCTGCCTAACAAAACTGATTGCTTATTGTATAAGTTAGTGTTGTTAATTGCATGAAAACTATGCACTCATGATGATCATTGAGATTAAAATCTTAGAAAGCTTTAATTGCTTAAACATCTTCAACAACTTTAGGTTTGTCTTTCTGTCCAAATTGTCTCGCATCATCTCCTGATAAAAGTTCAACTGCCTTTTCCAATGTGACTTCACTTGGCTTCATATTCTGCATACCGATTTAAAGGGGGAACGTCAAGAATTATACCCGATTAAAATTGATGTGCAATATCATGAATGCTTTTTCATACATTCTAAGTTGGCTAACAAAGTCTGTTGCAGTGGTTGCAAAGACATGTAGGAAATAAAATCTTGATAAAGATAGTAAAACTACAATAATACCTTAGGAACAGAAGCAGTTGTGCGTCGATGTTTTACATAATAGCCAGCCTTTGTAACCTTTAATATGACAGATTGTCCATCCTTAGGATGCTTACCCTAATCCAGAAGAGTATGTTTAGGAAATTAGCAATAACTAAAGAACAGAACACATGAGAGAGAGAGGATTTATTAACTTCAGTGTAATAATTAAACTGATCATATTAACATCTTACGAGCTGAATTTTTATGTAAAAAAATATAATCCTTCATTTGTTTGAAAGTTTGCTTTGCATTTATTGGTTCATAAGATATTATTACCACACCAACTCAAGTATTTCATCATAAACTCAGTAGTCAAAGATGAACATGCAAAATCAACTTGACAAGCAGCTCAATGACAACTGAGAAACATACCAATGTCAATGGATATTGTAGCAACGCAAGTGCGTCTTCAAGGGTGGTAGAATTCAAATCCTTTACCTGATACAACCCAAATTATATAAGTTATTTTCTTTTTTTGGAAAATATAATAATTGGTCAGACTTGCACAATTAGCTCTTTAACCCATGATCCTTGGAAAACAAAGAACCCGTCAACTAGACCAGCAGATGTACAAATGCATGCACAACCAACAAACACAGAAGTCACATTCATAAAAGGGTGAAAGAAGAAAAAATAGCTACACTATTCAACACAATCATTGAATTCAATTCTAACAATTTGATTTGAACCATCAAAGATCAAGAAAAGACATTTTTAGACAAATGATGGTCCTGACCCCTTGAAAAATACTTGCATCACAAGAAATTTGTACCTAGACCACCTTTCTAATTTCCACAATTCTTACAAAATCCTTCATTCAAGAAAATGTAAAAATTTTGTAATACTATTAGAACACTTCACAATATGCGGGCATTCAAGAAAAATGGGAGACAAACTTCTTCATGTCATTGATATTCTCACTTTGCATGAGAGATGGTTTAAAGTTTAAACATGTTTATTAGTGGGGTAATCCACATCTTACACGCCGGTTTTGTAAGAATGAGTTTGGTTCAATCCAAGTTCTAATATAGTATCAGAGCCTACCCAAAATTTGTTAGGCCAACTACTATTAGGTTTCTGCTATCGGGTCACTCGGGTCGGGCACCGAATGTCTAGTCCTGAGCATGAGGGGTGTGTGTTAAGAGTCTCATATTAGATGAGAGATAACTAGAACATATTTATAAGTACCTTACAAGTCAGTTTTGTAAGAGTGAGTTAAAACCCAACCCAAATTTTAATAGATACTGTTAGATATCGGAATATTCCATATTATGTAAATAGAATATTCTGTAAGTAATTAGGATATCATGTAAATAAGAAATAGAATATTATGTAATTATTATAGAACATTATGTAATTACTATGGCATTTATGCCTCCTATTATATATAATGAGCTCCGATGTGTAATTCGCACACACGGATTCAATCCAACCTTCCTCTTGTTCTCTCATTATTCAACATGATATCAGAGCCTCATCTAAGATCCATTGGGCCACCCACCATTTAGTTCCATGCTCCAGCCTCAATTCCTGGGCGTGAGAGGGGGTGTTAAGAGTCCCACATCGGACAATATATAGCCTGAACATGAGTTTATAAGTGGGAGTAATCCTCACCTTACAAGCAGGTTTTAAGCCGGTTTTGTAGGGTTGAGTTAGATCCAACTCACACATTCTAAGATGGTATCAGAGCCACTGATAGTGCTCGTTGGAAGAAAATTGATGCTCAACTCTGCAGTCTCATTAAGTCGACCATTAGTCCATCCTTGAAACAGATCTTTCGTTCTCATGAGACTTGCGAATCTGTTTGGGCACAGACTAAGATCCTTTATACCAATGATACACAATGCTTATATGGAGTGTGTCAAAATTTGCAGAATATTATTTCCCCTCGTCACCTGGATGGTTCTATGGCTGAATACTTGGGCCGTGTTCAAGGTCTTCTTCATGATTTCAATGAATTATTGCCCCCAGCTGCTACCACTGCTAAGGAACTTGAACGTCGATCCTTCTTCATGCTTCTAGCTCTGTATGGCCTACCTCCAGAGTATTCGTCTGTTCGCGATCAGATATTGGGGTCTCCTACAATCCCCACTCTGGATACTGCATGGTCTACTTTGCTGCGTGTCCCAGCAAAACCATCATCTAACGGCGGAGTCTCACCCACACCATTTGATTCATCTGCTTTGGTTTCTCAAGGAGGTAATCGTGCTTCGGGTGGTGATCGTGGCCACTTTCAGAAGACAGGAAAGCCTCGTCCTAAGTGTGATCATTGTCATAAGCTTGGCCACACTATTGATCGGTGTTATGCTTTACATGGACGTCCCTCTCCTCAGACTGCCCACGTTGCCCAGACCGCTCCACCTCCACAGGCTGCTACTCAGACTGATTCTGCCACCTCACCTGCTATCTTCAACGACTTTATCAAGTGGTATGAGGAGCGTCAGGCCGCTAGTTCCACTGCCTCTGTTGCGCACACGGGTAATTCTTTTGCTGGTCTTTCTCACTCCACATCTCTTGGCCCATGGATCCTTGATTCAGGCGCCACTGATCACATTACTGGTAATAAATCTCTTTTTTCTTCATTCTCTACTTCTGGTTTATTACCCTTTGTCACATTAGCAAATGACTCCCGAACTCAATCTCAGGGTACTGGTATTATCCACCTTTTTCCCCCGCTCTCCATTACTAATGTTCTTTATGTACCCGGATCTCCGTTTAACTTATTGTCTCTAAGTCGTTTAACTCGATCTCTTGATTGTACTATCTCATTCACCAAAGATTCTTTTTTCTTGCAGGACCGGAGTTCGAGACGGATGATTGGCACCGGATGTGAGTCTAATGGTCTTTATCTTCTTCAACCATCTGCACATGTTGGTTCCGTGGTGGATTCTCCCCTCCTTGTTCATGCTCAGTTAGGACATCCAAGTCTTGCAAAGTTACAAAAGTTGGTGCCCAACCTTTCCAAGTTATCTACGTTGTCTTGTGAGTCTTGTCAATTAGGAAAACATGTTCGTAGTTCTTTTCCGAGTCGTGCCAATCGTCGTTCTAAGTCTCCGTTTGCTCTAGTTCATTCGGATGTTTGGGGTCCTAGTCGCATTGTTTCCACTTTAGGGTCTAAGTATTTTGTTACCTTCGTTGATGATTATTCTCGATGTACCTGGTTATTTTTAATGGAAAATCGATCGGAGTTATTTGCTATTTTTCAAATATTTTATAATGAAATCAAAAATCAGTTTGGTATATCCATTAGTACTTTGCACAGTGACAATGCTCGAGAATATTTATCTACTCAATTTCAAACTTTCATGGCTACTAACGGTATGCTTCATCAAACGTCTTGTGCTCACACACCACAACAAAACGGAGTCGCTGAACGTAAAAATAGACACCTAGTTGAAACCACTAGGACACTCTTACTTCACAATAATGTTCCTCAACATTTTTGGGGTGATGTCCTTACGACTTGTTATCTCATAAATAGGATGCCATCATCTGTCCTCAACAATCAGATCCCTCACTCTATTCTATTTCCTCACCAGTCTCTTCACCCATTACAGCCTAGAGTCTTTGGGTCTACATGTTTTCTCCATAATGTTAGTCCTGGGCTAGACAAACTCTCAGCTCGTTCTCATAAGGTGTGTTCTTAGGCTATACAAGATCCCAAAAGGGATATAAATGTTACTCTTCGTCTCTTCGTCGATATTTCGTCTCTGCTGATGTCACATTCTTTGAGACAGTCCCTTACTTTGGGACGTCTACAGGGTCTGAGTCCCTATCACCCATGTTTTCTTCATCTCCCACTACTGCCCCACCAAACGTAGTTCTGTCTGCTTTGTCAGCCAATCCACCCCCATTAGCTCCTTTGCAGGTTTATCGGCGTCGACCACGGCCACCTCCACTGCCATCAACTAATGCAGAAATCACCATAGACTCCCCTCCGGATCCAACTCCTTCGTCCCCTCCGGTCATGCCCCCTGAGACTGATCTCCCAATTGCACTTCGCAAAGGTATACGTTCCACTTGTAATCCATCTCCACATTATGTTAATTTGTCTTATCATCGCTTGTCTTCTTTGCATTATGCTTGTATTTCCTCTTTGTCTTCTGTGTCTATTCCCAAGACTGTAGGTGATGCTTTATCTCACCTGGCTGGAAACAAGCTATGCTTGATGAGATGTGCGCTCTTCAGAACAGTGGCACGTGGGACCTTGTTCCTCTTCCTCTTGGGAAATCTGTTGTAGGTTGCAGGTGGGTTTTCACAGTCAAAGTTGGACCTGATGGACAAGTTCATCGTCTCAAGGCACGTTTAGTGGCCAAATACCTAGCCCTTGAGCTAGCTCCTGGGAGAGCTCACGCTTTTTGGGTGATTGGGTTTCATACTGTTGCACACCGCTGAAGCGAAGGTGGTCGAGTCAAGGTTAATCGATGGAAGTCTTCTTTCGTTTCACGAGCTCGAGGGCGAAGTGATGACAGTGAGACTAATCTCATGAACTAGCTTATTATCCTAGGTCGGAACAACCGCAGCTGTTCGGCCTAGATTATGGTGACAACTTCTCTCCCGTGGCTAAAATGGCCTCGGTTCGATTATTTCTCTCTATGGCAGTTATTCGCCACTGGCCCCTTTACCAGCTTGACATCAAGAACGCATTCCTCCATAGTGATTTGTGTGAGGAAGTTTATATGGAGCAACCTCCTGGGTTTGTTGCTCAGGGGGAGTCTTCTGGACTAGTTTGTCGTCTTTATAAGTCTTTGTATGGACTTGAGCAATCTCCTAGGGCTTGGTTTGAGAGATTTAGCATTGTTATTCAAGAGTTTGTATGACGCGATGTGAAGCTGATCATTCAGTGTTTTATCGTCACTCAGTTGTTGGGTGTATTTACTTAATTGTGTATGTGGACGACATTGTCATTACAGGTAATGATCATCATGGAATCACACAGGTAAAACAACACCTTTGTCATCATTTCCAGACAAAAGACCTCGGCAGACTTCGTTATTTCTTGGGCATAGAAATTGCCCAATCCAAACGGGGGATTGTGATTTCACAAAGGAAGTATGCCATGGATATTTTGGAGGAGACAAGACTGTTAAATTCCAAGCCAGTTGACACTCCGATGGATCCCAATGTTAAACTTATGCCAGCTCAGGGGGAGCCACTCTCCGATCCTGGAAAATATAGAAGATTAGTTGGAAAACTGAATTACCTCACTGTTACTCGCCCAGATATTTCATTTCTTGTTAGTGTGGTAAGTCAATTTCTTAACTCTCCTTGTGAAGGACATTGGAAAGTTGTGATTCGCATCTTGAAATATATTAAAGGAGCTCCAGAAAAATGCTTACTCTATGAAGACAAGGGACACACTCGAGTTGTAGGATACTCAGATGCAGATTGGGCAGGTTCTCCTTCTAATAGGAGATCTACCTCAGGTTATTGTGTTTTCTTGGGTGGTAACTTAATTTCCTGGAAGAGTAAGAAACAAAGTGTAGTGGCAAGGTCAAGTGCGGAAGCAGAATATCGAGTCATGGCAACAACAACCTGTGAGCTTATTGGCTTAAACAATTGCTTCACGACCTGAGATTCGAGGATGTTTCACAGATGACACTTATTTGTGACAATCAGGCAGCTCTGCATATTGCATCAAATCCAGTGTTCCATGAGAGAACCAAACACATTGAGATTGATTGTCATTTCATCAGAGAGAAGATTTTATCTAGAGATGTCAGCACTAGTTTTGTCAATTCAAATGATCAGTTAGCTGATGTTCTCACTAAGCCTTTGAGAGGTCCTCGAATTAATTATATTTGTAACAAGCTTGGTGCATATGACATATATGCTCCAGCTTGAGGGGGAGTGTTAGATATCGGAATATTCCATATTATGTAAATAGAATATTCTGTAAGTAATTAGGATATCATGTAAATAGGAAATAGAATATTATGTAATTATTATAGAATATTATGTAATTACTATGACATTTATGCCTCCTATTATATATAATGAGCTCCGATGTGTAATTCACACACACGGATTCAATCCAACCTTCCTCTTGTTCTCTCATTATTCAACAGATACAAACTATTATGATACCTCACATTAATGGCATAAAAAAATAACTAAACTACCAAGAGTTGAAAATGGTAGTATAACGTACATAAGGAACAGAAGTTCTTTTAGGTGCGCATCCCTTCCTGTTTTCTCCAAGCTGAACATAGATTCCATAAGGGCCACTTTTCAAAAGAACCTGAGGGAAAATAAATGCCAATTATACACAGTATTTAGTAATTCAAACAAGTCAAATTACAACTGTCCATTAAAACATACAACAAAGCCAATGTTAAGCAAACCTTTTCATTTGAATTACTATTAAAGCCTAGGAGTTTAGGTTCCTCTATCGTAGTGTTTGGCTGAGGTGTATCTTCCCCCTCCTCGTCGCCATTTAATGTGTTAGCAATGAATCTGTTTTCAAAAATCATAAGTAACACTCATAAATATGTAATTTCCAAATGTAATGAGGACCAAAAAAACAGCAGTCTCAAAACTTGCGTAAGACCCCATGAGTTATGCATATCGACTGAAACACCGCATGTCATTTTGTATAATAGGCACAAGATAGTTGAATCATATGACTTGTGGTTTGGTTTGGCTTCAAATTTTCACACCAATAAAAGCTATAACTGATGTTCTTGATATTCTTACATTTTTACCTCTACTTAAATGAAGAGCTTGTACTAGTGTTCCCTTTAACTATTTTAGGTCAAATGGGTGTTTGTATCATAAGAATCAAACTTGTACAGTAACTATGGTTTTTTAGCATTGAAGAAACTCAAATGGGTGTTTGTATCATAAGAATCAAACTTGTACAGTAACTATGGTTTTTTAGCATTGAAGAAACATTACTGATCACCATTCTTCCAAGTGTCGAAAGTAGGCATATGAGTTCACTATTGTATGAAAATCACAACAGTTAGACTATAACATAGATCCCACAAACCAAATATGTAGTATAATACTCACTTGCAGTTCGGATGTTGATCACAGCCTATAAAGTAGCCAGCACCAAATCTACTTACTTTAAATATCAGCGTGCCTTCCGTGCAACTGATACAAATCAAATAAGTTATCAAACAAATTGGTTAGTATATCATGAATGCAATCAACAAACCATTTTTCTACAAATAAAATCAGCATAATCACATTCATAACATAAAATTTACCCCATTATAACTAGAACATTACAATGCGAGTTCATATAACTTATATTCCCCAAGGTCAACGAATACCATTTACTAGGAAAAGAAGTGTCAATGGATTTTCAATGGTAGTGGATGATGCAATGTCAATCAAGTCTCATAACCAATATAAGTATTTAAATTCTTAAACTTTAACAGTTTGAATGTAGGGTACGCACAGTTATCTTGTTATCATCTCTTTTACAGCAAACGCAGCATAAATATAGCATCATGAGGGTGTGGGATGGATTAATATTTAACTATTTCCACCCATAATGTGGCATAATTTACCTTGGACACGACCGACCCTTATCTAGGAGAGAACCAAATAAATAATCCCCAAATTCTTTTTCTAGCATCTTCTCAACCTGCAAGTATAAAATCATTCATGAGTGCATAATATGAAAAAAATATGCTTCTCGTTTTCTTATTTCCAGCATTATTTGATTGCACAAAATTAAATTCCTTGTCCTATTTATACACCTTATGTAATTAGTTTTATTATCAAATGAATAAACAGTCACTTTTCCACATTGAAAACATTGCCAAGAGCATATCAATGTAAACATAATTTGAGACCCCAAATGGCAAAGCATTGAGCAAGAAGAAAGAATACAAACCTGGTGAATATGAACATTAGAAGTTTGCTCACAATATGACTTAAACCGTGTCCAATAATCTCCGAGGAGGCCTTTCCATTTGGTTGTTCCAGCAGAAACATTATCAAGCTGAATAAAAAATGAGACATGTTTTTATTAAGGAAAGGAAAGGCAAATAACAATGACCAAACTAGCTTGGACAATAAGCAAAAAAAATTGGGGGTGGGGGACTTGGAAGTAGGGGGGGGTGTAAAATAATACTCCCAAAAACGGTATTCCAAGAAAGATTCACAATTAACTCCCACGTGCAATTTATATATATGTTTGGTAATTATATAATAATCCTAGGAATATTTTTAAATTTTATCTTAGTTAAGAAAAAAGATATGAAAGTAGAAAGTAAAATAATACTCCCAAAAATGGTATTCCAAGAAAGATTCACAATTAACTCCCACGTGCAATTTATATATATGTTGGTAATTATATAATAATCCTAGGAATATTTTTAAATTTTATCTTAGTTAAGAAAAAAGATATGAAAGTAGAAAGTAAAAGTTGGTTGAATTTTAAAATAATCTTTTTTGCCATGAGAATGCAAAATTCCCACCCTTCATAGGAATGAATTAAGAGAGGAAACATGAACAAAATAGATTCCTGAGAATCCATGGGAATATTTTTGCAAAACAAGTAAAAGAATATAAATAATATTCCTAAATCTGCTTTCCTGGGAATGCTTTTGCATAACTTAAGAAATATGATCTAAAATACATTGTAGCGGTCAAGTGGGGAGAGGACACAATCATAGTAGATACCTCAGTTTCCATACCAGCCGTGAAACAGTAGTCTGTGACCTCTGAAAAATGATGCGACAGAAAAGCTGAAACCTAAATATCACCCAAAAACGGCTTAAATCACAACACATCTTACTTCAACAAAGTAAAAGATAACTGAAAATAGAAAAGCTTATAATGAGTGAAGTCATGTGCAATATGTAACCAAAAGGAGTCATCTATTTAGTTTGTGACATAAATAATAATGATAAGGCTCATTGATGAGAGGGACTGTTGGGCAATAAGAATACTGAGGAATGCATAAATAATGACAAGGATTCAAACTGGCTTGATTCATATTTCTTTTATGGGCCCAATAAAAGACAAGATATATATATATATATATATATATAATATTTACCGCATGATACAATAAAGGTAACAGGAGAAATGTTCCCGCGGCAATGATCGATCAAATGAATATTGAAGTATTTATTTTTATTTAACTTTTGGATATACTTAAGGAACACATCCAAGAGTTAGTCCGCGATGTGTGATTTTTACAGATGTTATAGTAGTCTTACTTGAAAAGTTGAGGGAAGAGTTAAATGGGAGGTTGGAGACGAGATTTAAAAGTGTATAGCTTCTGCTTGAGCAAAAGTAAGACGGAGTAAATGAAATGTAAGTTTAGTAAAAGGCGGACTGATTCTATCTTAGAAGTGAAAGTTGAAGATCATATCATACTACAAATTACGTAGTTTAAATATTTTGGGTCCATAGTACAAATAGAAGGAGATGCAAACCATTGAATTCAAGTTAAGTGGTTGAAATGGAGGAGGGCCTCAAATGTTTTCTATGGTAGGAAATCAAACTGAAGAGAAAAATTTATTAGATAGTCGTGAGACCAGTAATGTTGTATGGGTCAAAATGTTGGAGTGTAAAGAATCAACATGAAAATAAATTAAGTGTAGATGAGATTAAGATGTTTTGTTACATGTGTGTGTGGTAAGACTAGACGAGATAGGACTATAAATGATAACATTAGAGTTAACACCTACAATAGAAAAGATGGTGGGAACTAGGTTTAGGTGGTTTGGCCATGTAGAGAGAAGATATGGACATTCTGTAGTAAGGAGAGTAAATTATATAAAGAGTAGTCAAACCGCTAGAGGTAGAGGAAGACCTACAATATTATAAGAGAAGTTATTATGAAAAATCTCAAGATTAATAATGAGTTGGATAGAATCATGGTTTTTGAAAAAACATTATGGTGTAGTTTGATCCATGTAGTCGACCCCACTTAGTTAAATAAAGCTTGGTTGTTTTTTGTTGCATAGACAAAAGGGGAAAAACCGAGACAATGGTAAAAAGAGCATAGAACCAGTCATATATTAGATAAGTTGTATTTATTATTGATATCATAATTCAAGGGAATATATATGTGAATATGTAAAGTCATGTAGCTTGAAGTTAGAGGTTCTATATGCATAGCATGGGAAAAACTAGAGAGAAGATTTAAATCATTTTATTCCAAAAGCTCAAGCTACTAAAAGAAAGACCAGCATCATTTGAAGTCTTCTTTTGCAGCATATTAATAACATAGTACAACAATAGAACTGGTATTTTTCATCCTAATAAACAATAAATTCAGAACTTCAAGCTCAAGGCTTACCATACGACCACGAAATTCTGGAGAGAGAACACGGTTTTTTACTGTCACATACTTCCTATCCTGAAGCAACAAATAAATGAGGGCTCATAATTTTTTCAAACTGATATTTAAAAGTTAACACATGCAATGCCATAAAATTTCCATGAGATGCAGTAAACATGTAGAAATAAAGAGTGAGAGACAGCATCAACAAGCAAATTCCACAAGGAGTCTTGCATTTAGTTTTAGGGAGAGGGAGAACATAAAAAAGTCAAATGATATACAGAGTTGGTTTCTCAATTCTTCTTGGAGATTATTGTTCCAATAGATAACTACTACTGTGTTGCAATAAAGACCAAATTGGAAGTCACAAACTATGACATGTATGAGAGGATCTGTGATAGGACACCATAATGTCATATGATTCATATAGCCAGCCTCAGCTAGTGGGAATAGGTTTTGGTTGTATCTGGTAATTTATCCAAAAGGCTTTCGGTAATTTTCGGTAAAAGGCTTTATTATTATTTAATCTACAAAAAATTACTCCAAAATAGCCGTCAATAGTCATCCTGCTATGGGCTACATCGCTATAGCGCCTTCAGGATCAGCCGCTCTGCTATCCTAGATTGACAATTTGACAATAACTATGGCTTTCAGGATCAGCCGCTCTCCTATCCTAGATTGACAACAATGATGGCAGAGAAGCCAAGAGAATAAAGAGATTGGTAATAAACCCAGCCCAATTTCATAACCCATGACCCGTGAAAATAAATAAACCCTAATAAAGGACTCAACTATTTTCCTCTTCAGCCATCTAACTCAATTGAGCCACATCATACTCTACTTTCTCTTACTGTTAGCCTTGATGTGATATAAGATAGAAAAGACACGGTATGGTTACGACATTAGACTGATCCCAAGTCAAATACCTGTAAAACTTTTAATGTGCTTGCATATGTTGAAGGTCTTCCAATCCCACGCTCTTCAAGCTCCTTAACCTATGACATGCAAATATCATAAGGGAAATCCTAAAAAGAGAAAATGAAACAGACAAGATGCAAAAGAAATGAAAGCTCTTTATTTCCTTGCCAGCACAGAACATATATTTAAAAGAGCTCCAGTTCATTTTGAACTCAATAAGCAGCAATAGATTTATTTATTTCCAATAACGTAGAAAATAGTTTAAAATTAGAAAATACAATAGTTTACATGTCAAAGAATTCAATGTATGCATATGTTGCCATACATCTAGTTCAACGGGAAATCGAGATAAGAGTTCTTTGTAACAAATACTACAAATGTAGCTTGTCTGTGCACAAGCCGATAGCTTAGGTCATAAAGTTTTAAGGGAATGTCACTAGTAAGCAGCCAGCCACAAGATTAATATGTTTAAAACAGTATTTCATTCTGCACAAGTTTCTATCTTCAGATGAATTAACAAATGAAAGTTTTTGAAGTTTTAAAGAGTAACCATAAAAGTACAATGTTAGAAGCAAAATAAAATCCAATAAACAAAAGGCAAGCATCAGTGTAATATAAAGTTAACCGTTGAACTGAATCAGGTAGAACCCCAGCTAAAGGAAATGGGTGTTGTTCGATAATTAAGACCAACTATTAAGGTTATCCTACAAATCAGTAAATTAAAATCTCGTCAACTTGCACATCATTCATAATTGCACATCATTCATAATTGCCTCAAAAGTCAAAACATTACGATATCGGGTAACATAAAAACCAACATTTTGAAACCTAGCAATAGCATTTTCTCAAAAGGATGTATGTAACATGCTTCCAGGCATGTTAAAATGCAATATATATACCTATTCATGATATATAACCCAGAAAAGACACAAAATGACTTACCAATGATGCTTCGGAGTAACGCCGTGGTGGTTGCGTATGGTCCTGACTCACCTCAGTTTGAACAAGATGTAACAGATCCTCTGTCTATATAACAAAAATCAATGAAGGGCAAGGCGTTGTATAATTTACGGCATCACTAAATACTGAAGCACAGATGAAGAGTAATTATGTCCAAAAGAAAGCAATCAAGAATTAGTTTTAAAATCTACCAATGGTGCAAGTCCATTTCCGATTGATATGAACTCTCAGCACCATAAATGGAAATTCACAGATTGGAAACACAAGAGATACATAAGAAACAATAGGCAATTTTCAGAGACATACACACATTCCTGAGCCTCCACTAAAGTTGATCCTTCACATGCAATTAAGCCCCCCACCCACACATGCAATTAAGCCCCCCACCCACAAACTTATTGACTAAGTAATCAGAGTTCTATAATTGTTGCCCCATTTTTTCCAAATAAAGCTTAATTTCCACACAAGGTAAAATGGAATTCTACATAGACAAACTCTAAATTCAAAGGGCTATTGCATGAGGAAGGAGAAAGGAAATTTTTTATCATCTAGCCTCCACCTAACCGCAAAAAGCTTTTAGAAGAGCTGTCTTTCCCCCACAAGAAAAATAATAAAATAGAAAGTGGGAAACAAGAAGCTGCTACAATTTACATTTTTAAGGGCCCTTGTTGTCTTGTCCGTATATATGCCAAGATCGTCCTTTTAAAAACCCAAAGGCCATTGACAAAGCAACATAAGGAAACCAAGAAAAGCAGATTATACAAATAAACTGACAAGGCACAGACTGGCACATAAATGGAGAGGCGTGAAATTATTTTCAATAGCATAAACAACAACTAATTTCCAGAAATATCACCTTAAGGGAATTTAGAACTTCAAAAGCTAGCTCGTGATTAGATCCGTCACTATCTCTGTCTTGTCCAGATTCAGTGATGTCCTAGGAGTGGAAAGAACCGTACGTAAGTAGAGAACATCAGTTTAACTATCTTACTCCTTTAAAGGTATAATACATGTGGACATTCTCTACTTTAGCTTAAATTGATGGAGTTACAAAACCATCAATGGACCTAGAGCTAAAAACATTTGAAGCAC